AAATAAGAAAAAAATCACAGCACAGAGTACAGTGGTAGTTTTGACAGGGACGTTTGGCGCTCAAACGTATAAAAATATAACTACACTATATACACACACACTATACACTGATTTAGCTTTAATGCTATATTATAAGTTACTAAAATGCTGTATGTAAGGAATGTTGTTTTATTTATTTCATAGGAAAGTGTGAAGAAGATATTTGTGCTAAACTTAGCTTAAAACAATTATTAAAAATGCACGTTTTCAATTTTAAGCTGTACGTAACCGAAGTGTGTTTTTTTTCAGTGATTATAAATTAGTACAGTCAGTGAATTATTTTTGTATAGCTATCAACACGGACGGCAATATTTAATAAAGCAGTATGCCTTCTGATTAAGAGTGTTCCTTCCTCCCTTCCTCCAAGATTTTTTACCCAAACTAGGTTGGGATCCGCTTCATATCTGCTACGATACGGCTGAACTTCAATCTTTTACGCGGAGCGACTGCAGTCATATTTCCACAAAACAAGTACTAGGCGATATCGAAGTTCTGTAAAAAAACTTATCTTGGACTTTTTAGGGCCAACTACCCGTGACGGTTGCCACTGATGTTCGATGGTCTCAATATATTTTGAATGGTCACCCATCCATAGACTGACCTGGCTACGATTGTTTAACTTTACAATGTGTCACTCTACTCGGTACCCTTAGCTACGATCATCTCTTTGATTAAGAGTATTATTTATTTAAAAAAAAAACTTTAAACTTATTATAAGCCAAACTCCAATTAATGTATTATTGCATGTCACATTCTAACAGGCGCCTAAAATTCGAAAGACAGCAAAAAATTAGTTAATCAGTGATGTTTAGTTTAACTCTTCTACTATATTAATGAACACCGTAGTTTGTTAAAGAGTTGTAAATAACTAAAATTACGTGTTCAACATTAAATTCTGAAAGAGAACAAGAAATACCATTTTTAGTTCCCTTAGGAAATCCCTTAGGATACCTCCTACCTGACGACCGGTGTGATGATTATGTCGGACTCGAACCGACTAAAAATAGCACGCCGCCTCGGTTATCAGTAGCGAGGGAACCAGGTGTAACCTAGAAAGAAAATCCCTGGTTGATCGACGTGCCTCGGGCTATCTACAGCTAATAGATGGCATCCTCGTGTGTAGATGTGTCTCCTCCCTGCCTCTCGCGCTTGCGCTCTGGTGCGCGTGGCGCCGCCACGCCGGCCTACTTCTGCTAAAATGACTGATTCTGAGGTTCTCGACAAGCCTCCTCGGCCTCTAAAGGCCGGCTTCGAAGAGTGGATAACGGAGAGGGACCAGGAGAGGTGTCGAACTCTCCCGGTCCCACTCCGCCCTCTCCTTCATGAGCATAACTTGCTCGCAGAAATAGGTGGCAAAGACCCACGCGCTCTCGCTCCGTACTATGGCTCATATTACCGAGCGGGAGAATGCCGCGAGAAATACCCAAAAAATGTATATCTATTGTGTATTTGTAAAAGTAATATGTCAATTGCAGCTTAATTGGATCAATCCTGACAATAGCAAACGTGTCTGGTTCTGGCAAAGACATCGGTCAGGGGTACGTAAACTTCATGAGGAACTCTATGGACCAAATCAGATCGAAGGTATGTTAATAATCCAGTATTTGCTGTTTTGAATTTCTTGTAAATTAATGTGTGAAATTTAAAATTTGAAACACTTTCGACACCAGTATCAACCCAAGATTTAGCTGCAGCATTAAGTCAAGGTTACCGTCTTGTAAATACCACTAAAGTAACAGTACACCTTTCAAATCAATCGCAGCTGTGTAAGTTATTGAGATCCTGCATTAACTACGTTGGCCGTAGCCACGAAACTCTGTCGTGGGAACGAAATAAAATGACTGTGCACTGTTCATCAGAGATTTGACGTGGGGATTACCTCCTTTAATAGATATGCCATGACTGAGATAATGATGATAGCATTATTTGCAGTTTTGAAATCTATGACTGAACGTAGGAGCTTAGGCACTTCTGATACATAATAAAGAGCTTTGATTAAGCAACCTGCATTACATCATGATGCTCAATAAATTGTGTTAGGTATGATTTAGGCAAGCTTATAGGCAAAGGGAGGGACTCCAGTGGCAGCACTTGTGACTTTTGAGTTGCAGGTGTCCATGGGCGGCGGTGCTTACCATCAGGTGTCCCGTCTGCTCGTTTGCCCCCTTATACCATAAAATATATAAATATATCAAATAAGACAGAATCATCTAAAAATTGTCTGGTTATCATAGAATTACATAACGAAGGAAATTAATGAAATGGTTTGATCACCTAGCATACTCAGATCAGGATGCAATGTGATGAATGATAACAGAATTTCTGGTACAACAAAACCCACCACCACAAAATCCAATCAACTTCTTACACGACAGGTTTAAGTTTCTTGAAGAACTCCAATTTCTTGGGCTTTTTATTAACACTGATCATCCTCCAGGTGACAGATGAGCTGTGGATCCTGCAGCTGTTCGAGCACTGGTACGGTATCCAGGTGGGGCTCATTGGTACGTGGCTTGCTGAGAGACCTGCGCTACATCCACAACAAGTCGCTTGTCTCTCCATCATTCTGAAGGTAAGAGGGAGAACAAAGGAGCGTGACTGTTTAGGACAACTATTATTTATATATTTATTTTTTTCTTCATTGTAGGCACTAAATATATATGTATATAAGCGACAAATAAAGGTTATGTACAAAAGCGAGCTTAACATAAATCTGAGTTTTCTTCCAGCAAACCTTAAGTGAATAGCAGATAAACGTAAGAAGGGCAGAGTCGTGCGTACTTGGGAGTTAGTAGAGAAAAATATGTGATTCATACAAATATCGATATTAATTTGTATAGCAATATTGCTAGGCTCGTATCAAATATTTTTAGGTAGAGGGGGTAACACAGCAGACAGAGGAGGTGAGCGCTGACCCGTCACAAGGAATACTCCCTAAACCTACACCTGGGTCGCAGTCGAAGTCGCATGTGTTGCCCCATCTTACACGCGATGGAACCGGTACCCGCGCGGTGAATCCATGGAACGCTAAGAAATAGGTCTTTTAATACATATAAATACCTACATAAAACATGTATACACATATACATATGACATACTAAGAGCCTGATTATTATAGGGACAGATAATAACCTCTGGTTCTGTTCCTGATCACATTCAGAGATGGAGGATTACGTATTGCATGTGTGAGTGATCCCCTAGCCCAACAACCGCAACATTGAAAGAATTGTCGTAATAACTTGACGTATGGGAAGAAGTTCGAAGGGAAGAAGAGCAACAGCGCTTGTTTCTGGGAAAGTGCTTGGAGCACTCGTGAAGATGTGGAGGAAAATTAGGGTTGTATAAAGTTGAACAGAGTAAGGAAAGAATGTAGAGAGCAAGACGTAGCCAAATGAGTAACCAATCAGTTGTTTGTGAAATTCCGAAACAAAATTGAACTTTTTCAAGCTAAATATGAAGCGGTTACAAAGTTTTTGTAACCGTTCTAGCTTACCTCAGTTCTTCGGTAACATCGAGAGAATAAACATCAGCATAATCAAGAAGGGAAAGGAAAAAGAATTGAGAAAGAAGGACTTTGGTCTGAAAAAGAAGAGAGAGAAAGAGAGATAAGTACTGCACCTGGACCTACAGACTTAGCTTAATACTTTAGCAAAACTTAATACTTTAGCAAAAATACAACTTCGCTGTGTTGGTGCAAAACATATACGAGTACTTTATCAAAAATATATGATTTTCAGTTTCTCAAAGACGTTTCTGAATGAGTTATAGGCACTATTAATATCTAACTATGTTTTAAATACAGGGGGGCGTCTCTTTTCCGCATTCCGTAACTACATAATACCGACTGTTCTGCCGAAATTCCTCATTGTCATCAATGAATCATCGACTGCACGGATCGCACGTAGTGGTTTAAGCGGTTACCTCACCGCTTCCTACTGCGCTGTGTTGTGGATTCGATCCCCACATGGGACAACATTTTGTGTGATTTACAAATTCTTGTTCTGAGTCTGGGTGTCCTTGTTGTGTCCGTTTCATGTTTGATTTTAAAGTCCCCTGCGACATAGGATTTATTTCTAGTGTGGATGAAGGGTTTTATATTGACTCATATTAAATTCACCCCCTGCCACCCCGAAGCAGGATAAAGGTGGAGGATAGGATACAGGTGTGGGAGTTATCTTTTTTTCATTGGGGAAATCATATTCACCCCTTGTATAAACAATTAATACTGTTTAAATAACTATAGTGTATAAACATTACGATAATAACTACGAGTATTAATTAGTTTAGTTTTAACTGGCTTGTTGGTCTAGTAGATAGTGACCCTGGCTAACTCAGGGGTCGCTGGTTCGATTCCCACCTAGAACATATAATTGTGATCACACATTGAGCTCGGTCATTTCTCAGCTCGGCGTGACTACACGGATGGCGTAGTGGTTTAAGCGGTCGCCACGCCGCTTACTACTACGCCGCCGAGTGTTGTGGGTCCGATCCCCACATGGAACGCCACTTTGTGTGATCCACGAATTCTTGTTCTGAGTCTGGGTGTTCTTTGTGTCCGTTTCGTGAATGTTTGTAAAGTCTCCCGCGACACAGGATATATTCCTAATGCGAAGGTTGTCTTAAGTATGTTTATCAGCAGTTTGGTTACCATAGTACAGGTTCTGCCTAGTTCGGGATCAGACGATATTATTTTTGTTATTAATTAAGGGGTTTAAGCAATCTATTTTTCTCTATTTTAGAAAATGTACAGCGACTTTGAGCTTCAGGGCGTGATCGACGACAAGCTTAACTCGAAGGTGTACCAAAGCGTGGCGGCTAGGATGCACACTGAGGAAGCCACCTGCAGCCTGCTACTCTCGCAGCAAGACGCTAGGTGATTAAATTGACTTCTTTTCCGACGACCATTTATTTGACACTTTGCAAATAATAATATTTTGACCCATATTGAATAATTAGAATAAGGCGGACTTAATTCCGTAGGCAAGTTTTGGTTGATCCAAAGACGTAGCTAGCGTGTATGAGGTGTATGAGTTGTAGTCGCCTATAGCCTAAACTTCAAAAGAAATTTTATTAAATCATCTATTTATAGTTTATAATTTTACACGAATTGTTCACCTTAGTTAACAGTTTTTTCGTTGCTGTTCTCCGATCGAGTAAGGTTACCAGAGCCCAAACTCCCCTCCCCTGATTTTGGGGGGAGGAACTCAAAAGCCGTCAACTCACTTGTGACTCTTGAGTTGCTCCAGAGTTGATCCAGTCGTTTGTGCTCATGACTGCAGGACCTGAAGTAACATGGTCCGGGTCCTCCCAGAGCAGGACATCTCAGGCCAGCCGTCGGGGTGGTTTTTAGTGGATTCACCACATACTCCTGGCTCCTCAGTATCCAAATAATTATATGATATACCACCATCGGTCGGTCGCCAGAGCCTCGTTCGTCGTTCATCAGGATGTACCACGTGAAGGTGAGGTTGGCTTGGGGCGAAAGATGGTGGTTCGCCCCCTCACATCCCATCCCACGTGTGTCAGATGTGTCAAATTATTATTATTGTCAGTTGTCTGTTTTTTTTATTTTTAGCATTATATAGACTATACAGGGTAAAGCTTGAAAATGTCTACAATTATCATTGTATCTATTACTTATTTAATTTATATACCCATAGGGTAAAGCTTGAAAATGTCTACAATTATCATTGTATCTATTACTTATTTAATTTATATACCCATGGGTTTAGTGGTGGTGACGACGGTGGGAGTGAGGAGGGCTCGCGGAGTGGGAAGTCCAAACTGGAGTCACTCACGGAGGATGCGAAGCTTGGCAATGTTACTGCTGTTGTTGGGAAGGTAATTACTTTTTACAAAATAGTTAAAAATTAGTACCTACATAATGTATGTATTTTTGTATATATTTTTTTTTAGACATTTAGTCATGGAAAATTGATCTGTAAAGTAAATCTTAGACACTCCTTACTAAGGTAAATTCTTAGGAACAGATTAATCAGGTTTCTGCATGAGTTTACATCATCATTGTCATCAACAACCTTTAATAGTCCACTGTTGGATATAGGCCTCTCCTTAGAAAGGAGGGTTTGGTCGACTATACCACGCTGGCCGACGGGTTGGTATAGGGTTTGTTTCAAGTTTTCCTTCTCTTTGCAATCCATTTGTCCTGCGTAGTTTGCTCCCTTAGTCGGCTCTTACGACACCCACGGGATAAATATGGGTGGTGACACTCCGTATTCTTAATCGGTCATCACAAGGACATGAGTGTACATTATGAACAAAATAGCCTGCCTTTGCTTAAGAGTACCTATCTGCATACATGTAATGTGAAGGCAGTTTATGTCAGCCATGATCGACATTTCGTCACTGAAGTTCTTACAGTGCGAAAGTTAATTGGACAAAAATTAAATGGACAAAGTATAGTTTTTCGAAGTCCATGCCTCACATAAACAATTTTTTCTATTTGACATTTTACAAAGCAATTTACAATTATTGATTATAATAGTGCATTTGAACACAACATGCTACATCAAGCGAGGATGATAAAAATTAACACCATACAGCAAAAATACATACATTATGTAGGTACTTTTAAAATAATTATATTATCTAAGCGTACGGGCGCAGAACGGTGAAGTGAACTCCGAGTCAGGCAAGGTGAGGAAGAGGGATTACTTACAAACATGACCAGCCCATGTTTTCCAAAAAGAATGCCTTCAAATTATGTTTGATATTTTTTTCGTTTAGGCATTAATATCGAAGGGTAGTTTATTAATTAATCGCGGTACTATGTATCGTGTTGTTCTCTCACCGAACACGTAATCAGCGCGTGCCGTTTTCACCCTGTTTAGTGAGACTGCTCGTGTACATACAGGGTGTTCTACTTTATCACCCAAGCTGTATTTTAAGTACTTTTCTTTCAACAAACTTTATTTTATTTTTATGTGAATGGGTAGAACTTTACAGTGTTTAAAAAGACAAAGCTCATTGTTAAATTAATCGGTGGAAATGTTATTGTCTTTAATAATAATAACCATATTAATAACTTTTTTACATTTAATGTGTTTCCTGAAGGTATTAATCAAATTATTGATAAAGTTACCTCCAAAATTCAGTTCCGATCTTCTCTCGATCTCACAAATGTCATAAAAAATTTGTTCTTGTAGTAAAGTATTAAACTTCCAAACAACGTTGACTGTAATGTGATTATTTCGTATTGTGACCGAAAGGTAAATCGGTATTCTGCTAGTCTTACTACTTCACTTCGAGAATACCTTTTTTTTTTTTTTTTTCAAATTTTTTTTTTATTTATTCAAGGTAAATTGTACGGAAAATAGTGATAAAATGGGCGCTCATTTTTTTAGCTATAACAACCTGTTACGACATTTGTGAGATCGATAGTAAATTGGAACTGAATTATTTTATTTTTATTGTGAGAATTGAACTTCTAATGTTTAAAACATCATTGTCACACTATAAACAATATTTAAAAAAGAAACGAACCACGCATTTTCACGTTCAACACACCGAGAGTTCATTCCTCTGAAAATATTTTCATCATCGAGGCCGACTTGTATTATACGAGCGATCGCATTCTATCAAGATATTAATAGTTTTATTGAAATAATTCGCATTATTGAAATAAAAGTTATATATATATTAACATACGTTCACCAATCATCATTATCATCAATCTGCCTGATGAAGACAGCAACGGTAAACATAATTTTTAATTCTTATGCTCTCGAGAAATTGTATTTCAAAAATTAAATCATCTCGTCATAGTCCTAAAATAGTATTTATTGAGTTTTACAGCGCAACCATTTCATATACAAAATTGTTAGTTTTTTTGAAATAACTTTTTTAATTCTAAATCTGTAATTATGAAAATTGGCATACAAGTGAAAAATAGGGTTTGTTTTGCTTCATTTTGCTTTGAGCGCCTTTCAAATCCGTCAGTTTACCGACTGAATAATTTAAAATCTCAAATACATATAATTTTTTTCTTGAATGTAGTAACAATATTTAGACAATGTAGTATCCAAATATGGTAAAAACTTAATTTCGTATTATTTTCAAAACCGACATTATTCTACCATCATGACGATCTGTTTGTTATAACATTTAGCAATAATAAACTATTTATGTATATTTATTTATTTATTTATTTATATATATATAGACATATCGAGGACCGATGACAATACACTAATTTAAAAAAAAAAGAAAATTATAGTTTTAAAAACTAAAAAACACGCTTTCTATAGAAAACTAAACTAAAAAATAGAAAATAAATTTGAAAAAAAGCGTGGAGTGCTTTTTACTATTGACAACAGGCACCCAACGCTTTTTTTCAAATTTATATTAAAAGTCAAAACGATAGACGCGGTATATTTTTGTGTTACATACTATAGCGAGACATCATACCTAGCTACTGTCAATTCATCATATTTAATACTAGCTGAGACCCACGGTGTTACCCGCGTTTGTTGTTATAAACCGCGGGCAAAGCCGCGGGGCGAAGCTAATCTAAAAAAGTAGCCTAAGTTACTCCTTATGATATCAGCTATCTGCTAGTGAAAGTCCCGTCGAAATCGGTCCAGCCGTTCCAGAGATTACCCGGAACAAACAGACAGACAGACAGACAAAAATTGTAAAAAAATGTTTATTTTGGCATATGTACCGTGTAAACATACATATACATTAGTAAAAAGCGGTTATTTTAATATTACAAACAGATACTCCAATTTATTTATTTGTATAGATGGTTTGGAGATATCAAATTCAAATTATTTATTTGCTTTAAATGGGGTAGTAAATAATATGGTATTACAAGTTTGATATAAATCGAGCAGGCCCATTTAACAATGAAAATGGCATACAAAATTAACAAATTATTTAAATAAGTATAAATAGGTATATTATATTATTATTGTAATTTATGGTCAGGTCAACCATTCAATTAGGTATAGTGGGCATTTTGTTCCATTTATTATTGTTACGATACCTACCTTATATTTGTAAGAAATCCATAGTTATATCAAAACAATATCAAAAATGATAATGGATGGTGTATGATTCCAGCGAAATAATTTATTTTAAACCTAGGAATCTTAGCTATTCTGTAATTTGATCGGAACAACGTGTTTACATTCCAAAGGTTTTTGGCTGGCTTCTTTTTATAGTTGGCCGCCTGTTTGCTGCCCAGTGCTACCGACAATGTTAATCGTTTCTAGACGAGACGAAGTAAGGAGGCAAAACGGTACAAGGAAAACGAATAAAAGTGCGGTAAGTAGGACACGGAGAAAGGTCAAAGAACACTGCAATTGCACTGCGGAACTGAACTACGCAAGCTCGTATTTCGTGTTGGAGATGCCACTGAATCAGGGACATCATCTGGCCAAAAAGAAATTCAAGGTTGCATGAAATTAAAGTCGAATTTCCCTAAAACATTTTTATTATATTTTCCAGGTTGGCAACATCTTCGGACGTGGTTTCGGAGAACTATCGACGAAGCTTGGAGGTGGCTCCTGGTTTTTAGCGCGTCACTTTATACAATATGTCGTAAATGTACGTTTCTTTGCCTAACAATGTGAGATAACAGACTTCTTTTGTTAATGTATTACGGTCACAAAGTTACGTAACAGTTCAAAAGGTAAAGGCGTACATGTAAATGAACGAGGGATGCGGAGGGAAATTAACTACCAGTATAGTTATCATGTAATTTTGCCTTCTAATAATATATTTATAAATTAGGTATTGGAAGTAAACAACCTTTCGACATTTTCACCATGGTGCATAGTAATACATTAACAAAACGACTCAACTATTCTGTGATGATGAAGTACACCTTCTTTTGCATTCGATAAATAGAATGTCCGCCATTTTGAATTATATAAAATTAAACAAAATGGCGTCTTAAGCGCTAGGAATTAAGAATAAGTGGCCAGTTAATGCATAGCTTAGTGTGATTATAGTATAAACTATATTTAAATTTTGTTTTATAAAGGCTTTATGTACAGTTAGGGAATCATAATTCGTTATTGGAAGGACATAAAATGTAATACGTGTGTATATTAAGAGTAGTATTTGATAAACACGATTCTAAAAGTATTTACTGTATTAATTACGAACGCATACTAACACAAAATGCTACAATAAGGAAACATATCGCTTTGGCAAAAGTTATATTAGTTATATTAAACGCGATGTATTGTAATTATTTACAAAAATATATAATTTAAAATGATTAAAAGAAGGGGGGTGGGTTGTGAGAGTGTGAAAGTAAGGAATCCTTTTTCAACTTATAAAGTTACGTTTTATTTATATCTTTTTAAAATTGTTACTATCTTCTACGTGATTCTAATACTTAGATTGTTTCCTTCTAAATATATCTTGTACGTTATTCACAGTCTATTCTATTTCCGAGTGACAAACACGTTACACATTAAAACAGAGCAAAGTTTTCAATGCAACTCTTTCTATACCTAAGAATCAGTATTTTTCTAATTATAAAAATCCACTTTTGAAGCATCACGATTGGTTTAAAACTTGTGATTATATCAACAATGCATTTTTATAAAAATACAAAACAGCGCGATACATCTTATTTATTTTTCGAACATGAATATTGCCAGTAATAAATAATAACTCCCCGCTTTTTGGGTAAATTTTTTATAAGAATGCATCTTACATTTACAAGTTAGTCACTTTTCGCTGTAGCATAATTCTCTATATTTTTAATGCTCTCTAGATTCTAATGACAATCTATTGACACTTTTACCTTGATTAGTCATCAAATAATACATAAATATTTATAAAATATACTAATAATAATTATATTTGTTAACAAATAATATTCTTCTACGCTAAAACACCTTACAAATTTTTTGAACTAGGAGAAAATTTAAAAGTTCTTAGATAAAGTTTAATTATCAATATAGCGATTAGTCCGCTATGCTAATACGCCTTAAAAATGTCTTGTTGGGTACGGCTTGAGGAACAGACAGCTTGCATTATTTTATCACTTGTATTAATTTAATTTCATTATTTATTATAAGTTCATTCATTAATCACGATTACGCTTTGAAGCTTTCAAAATTATATCACTTCATTGATAAGAATATTCACGGTGTGTTCGTCTAAATCCGATTTTTAGGACGGCAAAATATTAGTGATAAAAAAATAACCGCAGTTTGAATAGATATTGTGAAATTCCTGCGGATATAAAAAGTTCAGCACTATATAACATGGTAAAGGTAGATACTTCAAGTATTTAATTAATAACGAGCAAGTAGGACTGTATTGGCACATAATATAAAGAAGTAGTGCTCTATATTGAATAGAAGAAAAAATAAATATAAATATAATAATCATGTTACACCCACAACATTATTTTAAGTATTCCAAACGTTTGAAATATTGCTAAAAATCAATTGAACAAACCAAACCAGAGTCTATAAGAGATTTGAATAACTAAGTCTGGCTTTCTTTAGCAAGTTGATAGTGAAGTTACTTGGTAGCCTTTAGGCACCGTGTGAATTGTATTTAAGAATGAATGTGGCTAGCATTCGTTCTTAAGAAAATATACCTTAAAATTTTTGTTGTTGTAAAGCAGGACACAACGTGATATCAAGTATTTTTATTACTCCACGAGTTTCAGACAAACTGACTTTTTGACAATAAATTGGCAACTCCGTGTTCTATATTCGTATTAAAAAATTAAAGAAAGTAATCGAATGAGGTTTAATAGCAATTTAATGGTGTTTCAGTTTAATGGTAACACTTAAAATAATGTTGTGTGTACATCATATTTTGTAAGTCATGGTATATTTAGTTATTCTCTTATTAATTTGTGCTTAGAGCAATTTAACATTCTTCAAAAGCAATTTCCGGGACGTACTAGAGTACACTTTACGCGGTAAAAAAAACTATCGGTTTTTATCCTTCTTTTAATTTAATTAAAAAAAAAAAATTTTCTTAAATTGGAATGTGGATTTATTTTTTGATTTTTTATAAATTGAAAGATAGTGAAATGAAAATAAATGTTAATTATTTTAATAATAAAAAAGTTAGGGGGGAAAAAAAAAGAAATAGAAAGGTTTTTTTTAAATTTTTAATATATTTTTTTATGTATGTGGGGTTGGGTTGAAAATGGGTTAAAAAATTTATTATAATTATTTTTATGGAAAAAAAATTTTTTATATTTTTATAAGTAAAGTTTTTTAAGATTTAAAAAAGAAAAATATTAAAATTTAAAAATTATAATTTTTTTTCATTTTAAAAAATTTAATATGATGTAATTTTTGGAAATTGAAAAAAAATTTTAAATTTTTGGGGATTTTTTTTAAAAATTTTTTTTTTAAAAATTTTTTAAAAAAGTTGGGTTTTTTTAAAAATTTTTTTTTAAAATGAAATTTTTTAAAATTTTTTAAA